TCCTAGGCCAGTGATGCCCAGCCTGGAGGATCCTGGTCCCTAGAGCTTGGTAAACAATTTCCACTATTTTAAGAAAAATGTTTCTTAATTTCAAAAGCAGAGTGACAGAGAGAGACAGAAACAGAGAGACAGAGAGACCTTCCATGTGTGTGTTCAATTCCCAAATTCATACAACTGGGGCTGGGCCAATCCAAAGCCAGGAGCCTGGGACTCCATCCAGGACTCCCACATGGGTTGCAGTAACTCAAGTACTTGGACCATCACTTGCTGTATCCCAGGTGTAGTAGCAGAAATCTGGATAAAGAGTGGAGGCAAGAGGGCTGGCGTTGTGGCGCAGCAGGTTAATGCCCTGCCCTGAAGCGCTGGCATTCCATATGGGTGCCAGTTCGAGTCCCGGCTGCTCCTCTTCTGATCCAGTTCTCTACTATGGCCTGGGATAGCAGTAAAAGATGGCCCAAGTCCTTGGGCCCCTGCACCCACGTGGGAGACCTGGAAGAAGCTCCTGGCTCCTGGCTTCGGATCAGCGCAGCTCTGGTCGTTGTGGCCAATTGGGGAGTGAACCATCAGATGAAAGACCTCTCTCTCTCTGTCTCTACCTCTCTCTCTAACTCTGTCTTTCAAATAAATAAAAAATAAATCTTAAAAAAAAAAAAAAAGAGTGGAGGCAGGACTTGATCTTGTGCAGTCCAATTTGGATGTGGGCATCCTGACTAACATCTTTACCCCTGCACCACAATGCCTGCCTCTATTCCATTATTTAAAAAACAAACAAACAAACAAAAAACCCCCAAGCTACTAGAAGTTGTGCTTTACTTAGGATAAGCCTGTGTATTGATGTAGCCCAATAAAAAGATTGGATTTCTTTCCTTTAGGTCATTAAGAAACTGTTACTCCAATGTGATATAGGTGTGCTACCAATGATCTAGGATAGAGGAAAAGAGTTTAGCAAACTATGACCCATGGGCCAAATCCAGATCTCTGTCTGTTTTTATAAATAAAGCTTTATTAGAATGCAAACTTACTTATTTATGTTTTGTCTATGAATACTTTTCTCCTACAATGACAGAATTAAGTAGTATAACAGAAACTATACGGCCCATAAATCCTAAATTGTTTGTAATCTGGCTCTTTACAGAAAAAAAATTGCTAATCCTCAGTTTAGATTCTTTCTTTCATGGCATTTAGCACATTGTGTTTGAATTGCTTGTCTCTCCAACTTTTTTTTTTAAGATTTATTTATTTATTTTGAAAGAGTTGGGTGGGGGGGTGGAGAGAGATCTTCTATCTGCTTGTTCACTCTCTAGATGGCCAGTGCTGGGCCAGGCAGCTCCATTTGGGTCTTCCATGTGGGTGGTAGAGAGCAAAACACTTGGCCCATCTTCCACAGCTTTTCCCAGGCTATTATCAGGGAGCTGGATCTGAAGTGGAGCAGCTGGGACATGGACTGGTACCATATGGGATGCTGGCATCACAGGCAGCAGATTTACCAACTATACCACGATGCCAGCCCTAATCTATCTAACTTTTGTATTTGAGCTCCTGAGAGCAAAGATGAGTTCTTGTTTGTGTTTTTATGCTGATCATAGTGCTGACATATGAAGAGTACTTAATAAATCCTTTTAAATAGGCAGACTTAAAACATTTAATAAATGTTTTTAAATATGCAGACTTAAAAGCTCTGATATCCAATTATCTATGCTCTGAATAGGGCATGAAATAGTTATGTTGGTTATGATATTATCAATGCTTATGTGATTTTTCTATGAATTAGTTATTTCTCATCACAATTTTTTGAGAGGGGTGAATAGTTCTTCTGGAAATGAGTTCCATGAATAAAACAATCATGCCAGGAACTCTTGTAGGTGAAAAAGATGAGAAACAATGCCTTAATCTTTTGGTGTATTCTAATCTGTCCCTGAGTACCCACCACCCCTTCATCTCCAATTCAACTTGGCAGGACAAAGGTAGAATATAAGGTTATACAGTGCATTAGTCTACTTCTTTTACTGTAGCTAAAATACCCAAGAGGAGCTTCTTTGGCAAAGAAAAGGTTTATTTCAGTTTACAGTTTGGAGAGTACAGTTCAGGATCTGGCATTTGTGGAAGCTGGTCATGTAGATTGTGAGGCATAATCACATGGTGGTCCAGGAAACAGACTGACAGCACCTAGGCTGAACTTGAACTCAAATAATAATCCTCTTATGATAACCACCCTGAGGGCATGCTCTGAAGACCTAAACACCTCCCACTGGCTCCCATCTCCTCACTGCCATATTAGATCAAATCTCTACCCTTAATCCATTAACCATTAACGTTAAGATATCAGAGTTTCAACGTCTGCAAGAATTTGGGGGAGACAAGTCTTGTTGCACCCACAACATGTTGTTATTCCTTTTGCATGCATACTGTTAATCTCACTTTTTTATTTTATAAAGTCATTATGTCAGTGTGCTTGTCACCAGTATTATCAATGTGGCTTCCAAAAGATAAGACCAAACCACAGCTATCTTGGTCACCTCAACAAAAAGGTGGTCTGGCGACTGGCCCAGGAGTCAGCAGACCTGGGCTCTCCCTGTAGCTCTTCAGCTGTTTTTGCATTTGAGCCTATCTTTTAATATATAAGAGTTTAGATTTATACCCACCCCCCATTTTGAAAAGACTTTGAACAACTGGCTAGAGATATAAAGGTATCCAGTCTCGTCCTGTCTGTTATCTCTAGCAGCCAGACAAGTAGATGATTAATGTATTTAGATGTTTTGGAACTTTGACCAGTGCCTTCTAAAAGACTTTATAGCAGTAAGCATTGTGGCACAGAATACCTGATTTGAAGCCCAGCTACTCTGTACTTCCAATCCAGTTTCCTGCTGATGTACCTGTGAGATAGTGGATGGTGCCCTAGTGCTTGGGTTTCTGCTACCCATGTGGGAGACCCAAATGAAATTCCTGGTTCCTGGCTTTGGCCCAGCCCAACCCCACATGTTGTGGACATTTGGAGAATGAACCAACAGATGGAAGATCTCTCTTTCTCTATATCTGTCACATTGCCTTTCAAATAAATAAGCAAAACATAAATAAATCTTTATTATTACTATTTTTAATCTTTTTAAAAGATTTATTTATTTGAAGGGCAGAGTTTCAGAGAGGAAGGAGTGGGGGAGAAAGAAAGATCTCTTCCATCCATTGGTTCACTCCTGAAATGGCCACAATGCCAGGGCTGGGCCAAAGCCTGGAACTTTATCTGGATTTCCCATGTGTTGCAGGGGCCCAAGCACTTGGGCCATCTTTAGCTGCTTTCCCAAGCCACGTTAATAGGAAGCTAGATCAGAAGTGGAGCAGCTGGGATTTGAACTGGCTCCCATATGGGATGCAGGTATTGCAGGTAGTAGTTTAACCCATTATGCCACAACTCTCATCCCAATAAATAAAAAGCAAAGGCCACAGCCTCTTTACCCTGTCCTTACCTTCTATCCTTTGACAATTTTTTCTATTACCCAGGAAGTTAAGGTTTATCCTGTCTTCTTTGGGTGACCTGAAGACTGTGGAATTAGTTATCAAAATCCAGCTCAAAGAAAATGGAAATTTTTTTAGTATCTAGTAATTGGAAGGAATATGTTTCAAAAAGTTTGTGGAAATGCAATTGTTTTGGTTCAAAAAATTTTTAAAATATTTATATGAAAGAATTAACAGAGATGGGGGGGGGGAGAGAGAGAGAGAGAGAGAGAGAGAGAGAATGAATCTTCCATCTGCTGGTTCATTCTCCTAAATGGCCACAACCAGGGCAGGGCCAGGGCAAAGCAAGGATCCAGGAGCTTCATCTGGGTCTCCCATGTGGGTGCATGGTTCTGAGCACTTGGGTTGTCTTCTGCTGCTTTCCCGGGTGAATTAGCAGGGAGCTTGCTCAAAAGTGGAGCAGCCAGAACTTGAATCAGTACCCATATGGGATGGTGGTTTTGCAGTGGCTTAACTTGCTGCACCGCAATGCTCAAAAAATTTTTGAAATCTGTGTATGTGAGAAGTCTTCAAAAAGTTCATGAAAATGAATATTATAAAAAAAAACAGTGCATGGATTTCCAACATCTTTTACACCAAAATAAGCGTACCTTTCAATTCTGTTTTTCCATGAACTACTTGAAGTACTCTCATCTACTGGGAAACTTAAGTCAAAATGCCTTTGAGGCCTGGGGGAGAGAAGTAGCTTCTCTAGTATCATATAGGATCTAAACCTAGCTTCTAGGCTCTGTGCTGTGTGTACCAGCCAGATGAGGAGTTTCTCAGGTATATAGAGAAGAGTAGGTATCTTGGAAAAAGCTAAGATGGCCTCAGCTATAGTGCTGATTTTACTGCTGAATGGCCACATGATGGTGGGCAGTAGAAACTGTTGATCATCTGGACTCAGGACTTCAAGATGTCTAATAAATATTTGCTAGATGTAACGTGTGTGGGATGGCACTAGATAAGAGAGGCTTCCCCGGTCATCCTGTATCTAGCATTATATGTATCAACAGTGACAAAGGGATCAGAAAGGAAAACTGTACAGTATTTGTGCACTGGGATTTGTTGGCTATTGTCTTATTTCTAGGAATATTATAATAATTTACATTTTTAATTTGACTGATTAAAATGATATCTCATTTAAACATGTATTTCTTTGATTGTTAGTGGGGCTGAACTTTTTTTTATGTTCAGTGGCTGTTTGTATTTTCTCTCATTTGTGAGTTCCTATTCATATTCTTATCTAGATTCTAGTATATTCCTAATCCCTTGCTAGAATTCTCTGGTAGGGAACTTTTAGGATGTTAAAGCATTGTCCTTGTATAAAGAATTCAGCATGTTCTCCAGACAGTTAAAGACTAGATGCATTGTTTTTGTCACTGTACAAGTAGCTGGTTAAGTGCCTATGTGAGAAGTAAGATACTAGAAGCTAAGGATGCTACTACAGGTTGGTAATAGGGGCTGGGTGGCAGCTCTGAGTAATATTTTCTCTTGCTTTTCTTGTACAGAGTTTTGCCGGATTGACAAGCCCCTGTGCGACAGTGAGGATGAGAAGCTAAGCTTTGAGGCAGTGCGCAACATTCACAAGTTGATGGATGATGATGCCAATGGTGATGTGGATGTGGAAGAAAGTGACGAGGTGAGCTCCCTCACCTTGCTGGGATTCTCTTCTCTTTTAGTGTGAAATGGCACCTGAAATCTGCCCAGACAGGTTGATCCCTGTGGAGGGATGTTTCTGTAGGAGTTCATCCCCACTAGGGGAGTCCGCTCTCAGCAGAGCAGTCTTCTAGGAGCCAGCCTATCAGAGTGCAGGCTTTGTGTCTGTGTAGGTGAGCTCCCACTTATTATTGGCTGGTTGTGTTATTCTGGCTGAACCATGTTGTTTGGGAGGGAGAGGGATCCCTGAGGTTGGTGTCTGGTTTCCCTCCATCCTTATTGCAAACCTGCTGTAGATGGAGGGTGACAATCTGTACTCAGCCCCATGTTGGTGTGTAAGAGAGAAGGCAAGACAGTCAGATCCTGCTCTCTGGGAATGTATGCTATATTTTTGAGGAAGAAAAAAAAGTTCTAGAATGGTCATTCCGAACTGCAGGCTTCAGTTGTTGGGAACTAGTTGAGTGGTCCAGATAGTAAGAGCTAGAGGAATCTTTGTTAGGGGTGGGGAATGTCCAGCCCATGGGCCATATGGTGCCTGCAGAATCATTTGGTCTGGCCCTGTCAAGGCCTTAAAATTCTTTAAATCTATGGCAGGTTAATTTTTAAGTTGATAATTTTATGTGGCTGTGATGGCTGTTGTAAATATCCAGCTGTTCCTTGGTAGAAAAAAGTTCTCCACCTGCAGAATGAAAAAGTTTCTGTTGCTGTTTTATCTCTTGATAATACTACATCTCCACCTCAACAGAATCCAGAGTAAAAGCTCCATCACGTATGAAAAGATGTAAATTTTTCTTTATTTCAAGATCAACATGAACTAGTAATTTGGTAAAGCTGCCAAGTTATGTCAGATCTTCAGTAGTGCTGTTGACGCCATGGTGTAGCAGGTAAAGCCTCTGCCTGCAGTGTCAGCATCCCATATGGGTGCCGATTCGAGTCCCGGCAGCTCTTCTTCCAATCCAGCTCTCTGTTATGACCTGGGAAAGCAGTGGAAGATGGCTCAAGTCTTTGGGCCCTGGCACCAGCGTTGGGGACCTGGAAGAAGTTCCTAGCTCTTGGTTTTGGATTGGCCCAGCTCCTGCTATTGCAGCCATTTGGGGAGTAAACCAGCAGATGGAACACTTCTTTCTCTCTCTTTCTCTGCCTCTCTTTAACTCTGCCTTTCAAATAAATAAATAAATCTTTTAAAAAATCTTCAATGGTGATATATATCATGAGGGAGAAAATAAGCCTAGTCTCTTCTCCTCGCTAGTTTGGCTACTTTTGAGTTACCTTTTTTTATTTTTTTAAAGATTTATTTTATTTATTTGAAAGACAGAGTTACAGAGAGAGGTAGAGACAGAGAGAGAGAGGTCTTCCATCAGATGGTTCACTCCCCAGATGGCCGCAATAGCCGGAGCTGTGCCAATCTGAAGCCAGGAGCCAGGAGCTTCTTCTGGGTCTCCCACATGGATGCAGAGGCCCAAGGACTTGGGCCATCTTCTACTGCTTTCTCAGGCCATAGCAGAGAGTTGGATAGGAAGTAGAGCATCCAGGACTAGAACTGGCGCTCATATGGGATAGTGGTGCTTCAGGCCAGAGCTTTAACCCACTGCGCTACAGCGCCAGCCCCTTGAGTTTCCTTTAAAAAATGTTTATTTGTAAGGCAGAGTTGGAGGGAGGGAAGGAGAGAGAGAGAGACAGAGAGAGAGAGAGAGAGAGAGAGAGAGAGAGAGAAGTGTGTGTGGGAGGGGATGAATTTTCCATCCACTGGTCACTCCTCAAATGGCCAGAACAGCTGGAGCTGGGCTAGGCTAAAGCCTAGAGCCAGAAATCCATCTGGGTCTCCATGTGGGTGACAGGGTCCCAAGTATTTCAGCCATCTTCTGATGCTTTCCCAGGCACATTAGCAGAGAACTGGGTCAGAAATGGAGCAGCCAGGACTTGAACCAGTTCTCTGATATGGGATGCTCACATCCGAAGTGGTGACTTAATGTACTGTATTACAATGCTGATCTCTACCTTTGAGTTTTTATTTCAGTTTTGGATTTCACATTGTTATCGGATTCAGAACAGTGAGAACTGACTAATTACACAGGGATAAGTGACATGAGTGATGAAGCATAAGGGAACTATGAAGTGAGAAGCATTTAGTTTAATAAAATTTATTTAATATTTTTATGGGAGCTAGTGTTGTGGCACAGCAGGTTATGCTGCCACTTGCAACAGAAACATCCTATATGAACTCCATTTCAAGTCTCAGCTGTTCTGCTTCCCATATAGCTCCCTGCTAATTTTCTTGGGAAAGCAGATGAGGATGGCTCAAGTGCTTGGGTTCCTACCACTACGTGAGAGACCTGGATAGAGTTCCAAACTCTTGGCTTTGGCCTAGCCCAAACTTGGCAGTTGCAAGCATTTGAGGAGCGAACCAGCAAATGGAAGATCTATCTCCCTCTCTCTCTCTCTGTAACACTGCCTTTCAAATAAATAAATAAATAAATGTCTTTTTAAAAAAAGTGTCTATGATATATGTGTGTTGCACTGTGCTAGGCATGCAGATAGAGTGGTAAATACAGCCTAAGCTTGTATAATTGATAGTCTGTTCTCATATAATTGACAGCCTAGTGAAGAAACTTTAGCCCGTAGAAGAGGAGACTTGGATAATATAATTTCTATCTTTAAATACCTAAGAAATAGAGAAATTAGACTTTAATAACTATGATAGTAACAATGAAAACCATAGTACTACTATCATTTATTGAACTCTTTCTGTATGCCAGGCGCAGTGTAAAGAACTTTTTTAATAGCCTCATGAAGTTGATATTATTAACAGACACTGGAGTGTTAGAAAGGTTAAGCATTTTGTTCAAGGACACACTGGCTGTGTACTCAGATCTGATTTCAAAGCTTGTACTCTTAAGTACTGCTGTATTATTTTCTTTATTTTAAGGACAGAACCAGGACCAATGTGAGGAAAGTAAAAAAAAAAAAAGTCATATTCTTCTAGAATAAAGAATTGCCTAATAGAGATAATTTGTTATAGAAGAAGCTTCCTTGGTAGAGAGTGACCTCCCTGTTACTGAATATGGGCAAATGAAATACAGAACCACATTAATTGGTCAGAATAGAGGATTCTTCTGTTAGGATGATGTCTAAGAACTTTAAAAGAGGAGAAAAATAGACTTCCTTAAGGAAAAGTAAAATTTGGACAGACTGGAAGGGTTAGGGTTACCTGAGAAGTGGAGAACTATGTGAGCAAGTGAGGAGATAGTAAGAAGCATGGTGGGTTGGTTTGCTTAGACAGAGATACCATGAACAAAAAGTTGGAAAGGAAAGTAGGGTCCAGGTAACAAAACTGAGACATGTGTTCTTGCTGAAACCGGCAACTCTGGGTTCTTGAGCAAGGACACAACCATAAAAGTATCTGGAATTTTGGTTACACTGACCTTCAGAGGACCAAAATTTTTTGTCTGCTGAGAATAGAGCCATGTTCCTAGTGGTGAATGAGGCCTAGAAGTATCCTGGTCATCATTCTAGGGCATAGCCACAGGACTGGAGAATGGATGGCACAACAGTTAAAAAGGTTGTATAATTCAAGATCTACAAATTCTTGGATATCTTTGTCATCCACTCCTCCTTTTTTCACATTCTGCTGAATTGCTTTGTCAATGAGGGGCAGAAGAAAATGTTCTTTTTGGAGGAATGTTACCACAACAAGAAGCTCATCAGCACAAACTGTTCTAAAATAACACAGAAGCTGTTGCCCCGCTCTTCCCTGCCCCAGTGGTGAGCTGTTCTTTTTCAGCATAGCTTCCTGCCTTGGCTTCACTGCTCTCCCTGCAATCTCAGACCACTTGTGGCTAGTGAAGCCTGTTGCTCTGGGTCTTCATGGCCAGTCACAAGCTACTGTCAAGGAGCAAAATGTGTGTGCTTAAGTCAGTCTGAATATATGTGAGACAACCTTGAAGTTCAAGATCTAACTAGAAAGTTGGGTAGATAGCTCAAGGCTTAGAATAATGGGTGATGGATGCTACGGCTCCAGGGATGAAATCCTAGGTGTGCTGGTCATTAAGGACCTGAGATTTTTATGATTCTCCCAAAAACATTGGTGATTACTGAGGAACTTTAGTAGAAATATGAAGTGATGTTCTATTAAGACTATTTATTCAGCTTCATAAGAGTAAGTTTTACAGATAATTGATCTGAACTGAATATCTACCTCGGGACTAGACTTTTTTTTTAAGCCATTTTTGAAGTTAAAGTTTTTTTTCTTACAGATTCCTGTGACCAGTGTTATATTTCTTTGTATAAATCTGTCTTCAGGGCCTTATGCATTATTAGCCGAGGACCTAGATTCCTCTATGTACTGTCTGATTGCTTCCTATTGTTTTCCTGTCTCTTCTTTGATTCATTCTCATTTCTAATTGCTGTATCTACTCTAGAGTGAACTGTGAGATTAGTTATGGTAAGTGGAGACTCAGCAGACATATAGAAAATATATGTAGGGACAGCTAGTTTGGCTATCCTGGCACAGTGCTTTCTGTGCTTGCTTCTGTTCTAGATTGCAGAGATTGGGAGTTGTGGGCCATTCAGGTGAGCCACATAGCACTACTGGTGATGGTACCCTTCTTGCAAAGCTAGGAGGAGTGTCTATCAGGCTGGTTGGATGGGAATTCATGACCTGTGTTCTGTTTAGGTCTCTGTGGGGGGACACTGTCAGTGGACAAAGGATTTGTTCCAAGTGGGACAGTACTGTGAGGTTGTGCTGATGGTCTGAGGTGGACAGATAAGGACCTGCCTAAAACCACTGTCCCCTTGACCAGGCTGGACTCTTTGGGAGCAGTATTATTTTCCTTTCTGGTGCTTACATGGAAAATTAGGGAATTTGTTCAGCTGTTAAACAAATTCTTATTGAATACTTATTATGTGCTAGGCACTGTGCTAGAACTAGGGAGTCTCTAGTGAACAAAGGAGATAAGATGCCTGCTCTTAAGGAGTTTGTGTTCT